GCGACAAGCCCAGCACTCCTGCTGTGTGTTGTCGTTTTGTTAGTAGGTGTCAATACATGCAAACACACACACACACACAGACACACACATCAGCGAAGATAGAGTGAGTGTGAGAGTGAGAAAGATAGAGCAAGAGTATGTATTACAAGCGCTGCGGTACACCAAAATGTATGCCACATGTGATGCTAAGCAGCATACACAAGTATGTGTGTGTATGCATATGTGTGTGCCTGTGCCTGTGTGTGTGTGTGTGTATGAAGATATATTACATTTTGCGGCCAACGCATCTGTGGTTCTGCGCGCCTCTGTGTATGTGTGTGTGTGTGTGTGTGTGTGGAGCTGACAAGCATTTGTACTTGTGGCTTTCGACTGTTTGGCCAAAACGTTGAGACATAAGTTGAATTATGGCACTTGCCACTTGCCGAACGCCGAGTGCAGAGGCAGAAGCAGAGTCAGAAGCAGAGGCAGAAGCAGAGACAGAAGCAGAAGCAGCAGCAGCAGCTGCATCTACAGCCACTGCTACGGCCACAGCTCCAACTACAGCTGCAGCTGCCTAATGAACTTGTTAGGCGCCACGCAGCTGATACCCTACAGAATTTGGGTCAACAATGCTGTAAATTATGGCTTTAACCGAATTTGGGGCGTGTCGAGCAAGCCAAAGCGCTTACACCAGGCTATTTTTGGCTAAATCTCATAAAAATGAGCAACAGGCCCGGCCGAGTCGCTGCTTCGTTTGTATTGATTTCTATGTGCTATGTCCGTCGTCATCCTGTGACAATTTGTCAGCTTTTGTTAAATTTCTGTTGCCTACTTTAAGGCGCAGCCCATAAATTCCCTGTCTGTGTGTGTGTGTGCGTGTGTGTGTGTAGGCACATCAGCAAATACCTAACTCGAGATTATTTGTCGTTTCGTGTTGTTGTTGATTTTGATGTGGGCTCCACCTGCGTGTGTGTATGTGTGTGTGTGTGTGCTAGCATTTTGCCTTGGCTTTGCCCTGAAATTGTTTTTCCGCACATCAACTTTATTATGCCTTAATAATTGATGCTGCGGCTGCGACTGAGGCCAGGGCTCAGTTTGGCGTAGCTCCATCAATTGAATTGCTGATAAATTTCTGTTACTGCCTGACTAGATAGACCATGGCCCCACTGCCATACTGCTGCTTAATTGTGAGGCCAGCGCTCAGTCGCCGTTGGCCGGGTAAATTAGCCAGCTAGTAGCGCAGTTAGTCTGCCCACATAGTTACCTGGCGCCGAAGTTTGTTGGCCAAAGTTTCGGGCGCTTTGGCCTTTGTAAAGTGGGCAGCGCTAAATGCCCCAAATTCTTTAAGTTTACAAGCAAAACATTTGTGCGCAGTTTTCATTTTCTTGCCCTGTTCTTCGCTTTTTATTTTTATTTCTTTTGGGCTTGCGTGCGTGCCCGAAATGAGGCAAGTTTTTTTTCTATTTTTCTCTTCTTTTTTTTTAGGTTTTTTTTTTGTGTATTTTTACACCCTTTTTCGACAGCATTTTCTTTTCTTTCCAGCTTGTTGTTGTTGCATTTTGATCTCTTTTCTATTTACGCAGCGGCCGCAAGTTTGGCCTGGCATTTGGTTTGCCGGCCATGGCCAGCGGGCAGGCGGGGCAACCCCTGCTAATATTCGCCATTAAACTTTTGCTTGTTTTTCTTTAATTAACAACACAAACATCTGATATGCTACTTTCTACTTTGCTTTCGCTATTCGCCTTTATTTTTTGTCGGCTTTTTATTTTTATTTTTATTTTGGTTTTTTTCCTCCCCCATTTTCTTGTGTTTTTTGTTGCTTACTTTAGCCATTGCATACCTTTATTAAGTTTCGTGTTATTTTTACTCCTTTTGCGGGTCCCGACAAAAACTTTGGTGCTTAAAATTTGTACCATCGCCGCTCTCCTTTATGCTGGCCAAGGCAAAGGGTTAGACCCAACCCGCCCCCGCCCCCTGCTCCTACGGCTCTGTTTACATAACGTCCGCGCCCACAAAAACCACCTTGAAATGATGGCGCTTTGTCTTTGATTTGATTGCATTAATTGTTTAAATGGCTGCGGTTTGCTCGGTTTCGATAAGGTCTTTGCACCCGGCTCTTTTAGCGGGCTAAATCTTTAATGCATTGTGCAAACAGCTTCAAGGATTAAATGCTCATAATAGAGAATTCCATTAGACTTACTAAGCAGAACGCAAATTTTTTTGAAGGTTTTTTGTATATTTATTTTAAGCGCTGAACGCAAATGCCTTAAAAAGTTAAACAGAAAATACTAAGTTAATATTTTTATTAAGTGTATTTAACAAAATTTTCGATTAGCGCTTGATTGAAGCTAAATTTTCAAGGGCATGCAAATTAATTATGTTTAACCATTCTCGGAACTTGGCCAACTTTTTTAATACATTAAACAAAAATACAAATATTTGCCGGCCTAAAATAATTATTTCTGTGCAGCGTGGGTCAGTCTGTTGTGGATATAGATCTGTGAGATTCTTGCTCTGGTTTATGCTTATAACTTGTTATGATTGATTAAAAGTAATTTATGAATCAATGAGCTCGAGTTTGTCTGACAGACAAATGCCTTAAGACTAGGCCTTCTAGTTGGACTTTACTCCACGAGCTCCTGCTCAAGACTGACTGACCCAGCGCTGTCTCAATTCCGATGATCGTAAGTGTATCACACTAACACACACATGCCCACACACTCCCTTCAGGCGCCAATCATATGCTACCATTTCACATAGAGAGGCTCAGCCAGAGGAAGAGAATCAGATCAAGCTTTCGGCTTTACTTCGTTGACTACGTTCGTTGAAATGAGAGGCAGCCGAACAGAATTCTAGAGAGTTGAGTAGACGAGCCGATGGCTTCGTCACGAAGAACTTACACATGCAGCACTCTCAGTTTGATGAGAGCTATATGGCTTGCCTAATATAATTCATTAAATTAAATTCTAAATATTCAAAATATATTATTAAAGAAATATAAATAAATCAACGTAGTCGAAAATATTAGTAAATAGTTTTAAAATGTTTAAAAATATGCTTTTCTATAATATTTATTTATTTATTAAATATATAAAAATTATTTTTGAATATCATTGTATTAAATTTAATTAATATAATAATAATTTTATTAATATACATATTTTTCATTTTATATTTTTAAAACTAATTTTTAATTATTATTATATGCACTAAATATTAGAAAAAGTAAAAAAAAAAGTAGAATAAAATATTATACTTTTTTTAATTGTTCTAATACTTTGTTTATTTATTTATTTTAATTTTTAATTTTAATTTTTAATTTTTATTCACTCCCACCAACATCACCCAACACATGCTTCAGAGAAATAAATATGAAGAGCACACAACATGCAATTAAACCGCATTAATTTGGCAAACAGAGAGCGCTGCATATAAATGGGAATATGAATGCAGTTATAGTTCATAATTTGAATAAAATATTTTGCAACATATTTTGTTATTGCGCTGTGCCAACAACGAGGCCCCAGAGCGCTGGGAACACAGCTGCGAGCGAGACTAACAGCAATTATGTTAGAGCAGGAGGCGGAGGAGCTGAAACTAGATGGTCAGCGGAAAAAAATCCTCATATGTGTGTGTGTGTGTGTGTGTGTGTGTGTGTGGCACCAAACATGCCGCAACTGTCATAATGCCACATGAGTGTTAACATAAAAATTAAAAACTTTTTGGCGCGCTCAACTTTTTATTTACTGCATGGCAAATGAACTAAGCGACAAAGCAGCTGCAGCAGGAGCACGAACAGCAGCAGGAGCAGCAGCTGCCACAAACTTTTGCAGCGCACTGTGAACGAATTGCGGATGGCTGGCGGACAGTGTTTATTGTGTGGGTAAATTAAAGCGGATTACTTAATGCGAGCTGCATTTTTGATGCACCTCTGTGTAATGCTCATGTTTGATTTACCTAAATGACTTTTAATTATTCAGCAGTCAAATGTGGGCCACACACACACACATATGTACACAGAGGCGTTGAGTGGCTTATTGGGCTGCAAATCTGGCTGGGCATAAGCCCACTTTAAGTCTATAAAAACAGCACTTGAAAACTAATTAAACACTAATAGCAAACAACAAAAAGCTGCGCAAAGGCAGTTCAAGTGGCGGAAATGCCAGCGAGTCGGACAGCAGCAGCAGCAGTAGCCTGCAATTAAACCAAACAAAACAAAAGTACAAAAGTAAAAAAAAAGAAAAAAACTGAAGGAAAATAGAAAGAAAAGCTGCGCAAAACTTTTTAATTTCGCCAACAAGGGCTGAGAGCTGAGGCAACACAGGCTGCTGGGCGCGAATGAGTCTATAAGTTGGAGTCGATTGCGAGGCAGCCGGGCAGCGTCTTGCCGGGGAAATAAAACAATGATGGCCAAACAAAAGCAATACGAGCTAAGCACGAGTATCGGGTGCCAAATGGCCAAATGGCCAAATGGCGAAAGGATAACAGACGGCGGAAGTGAAACGAAATGGCAAATCAATGGATGGCTGCGACAGCAGACGTGGGACGACCCCCAACCCCTGCAACGCCGCGCCCAACAACAATAGCAAATCCGCTTAAAGTCAAAATTATTCCTTAACCAAAAAAAAAAAAAAAATAAGAAGGAAAAACTGAAGAAAAGAAATAAAGAAAGCCAAACGGAACGAACCCTTGTGCATGTGTACAAAACTGGCTAAGCGGCTGTTGTGTTGGCCAAAAGTTCTGGCCGAAACGCGGCGGCTGTTTAAGCCCTAAGCTGTTGACTTATTTACCAGGCTTCGATTTGCTTTCGCTTTGGCCGCCCATTGTTGTGCCCCGATTTGTTGCCACGGCTTAGCTGCTCAACAATTTTCGCTTAGCCAGATTGCGTGAAACAGATAAGCGCAGCGCCGCACTTCGCAGTAGATAAATTAACAGAACGAAAAACACTCACTTAAACCTGAAGCAACAATATCTATGTATGTGTGTGTATGTATAAAATAGGAGGACAGGGCTGGGCTTACCTTTGTGATGCCGCAGGTGATGGCCAACAGCTGCTGCTGCGCCCGTGCAACACGGCGGCTCGTAATATAAATTCCAAGTGTTCTCATAATCCGCCCGAGCGTAATCCACATAAATTATTTGGGCGGCAAGCGCGAGCAGCCAACCGCCGAGCAGGCTCTGCCGCAACCTGGCCATCTTGCTGGTCAACGCTTTCGATGGCTATAAACTAAAGCTTCGGCACTCCTCAGACTCGCGCGCACACACACACACACAGAGATAGATCAGAGGTAGCAGCTGGTATTCTCGCTCAACGACAACAACAACAAAAACGATGCGAGCACACGATGTGGAGCATTGAGCCAGGGAGCATCGACTGATCTCGACTAGATTCGAATTGTTTGCATGTATTCACATGTTCGACGCGATGAGCGCGAATTCCGAATCGGATCACAAATGCGAGCGTGTTCCGCGTGCGTATGTGTGTGGACGTATGTATGTGTATGTGTTTGTGTGTATGGGTGAAGGACGAACGCACGGCACGAGCTGCGAATACGAACTGAGTGGCCAAAGCACGAGGAACTGTGTTAAATAAACACACACCACGACGACAGCGACGACGACGGCGACGATGACGATGAGACGACACGAACTGATGCACGACTCGGTCTCAGCTCAGTTCGGCTATGCTAGACACCTGTAAAGAGAGAGAGAAAGAGAGAGAGAGTGAGCGTGACGGTTTGCGCATGCGCGTGTCGTAAAATATCCCTGTATATTTCCCAGTTTTGTTTATGTTTACGAGCCGTGCGCCAAGTGTATTGAACTCATTTAGAGCAGCGCTCGGCTTGCAACGTGCAATGGGCAACGTGCAACGTGCAATGTGCAACGCTATGCGCTCTACAACAATAACAACGCCAAATGCAATCCACACACATTTTCAAGGGTAACTGCAGACACATTGAAACTGAAGTGCGGCGGCTGCTGCTGCTGCTGCTGCTGCTGACACCCCCGCAGCTGCAGAGAGACGGGGAGACGAGACGAGGCGAGACGAGACTGTTGCCAGTTGAGCAGACAGGCCGGGAGTTTGGTGGACATGGCAGACAGGAACCGTTAGCAGCCCAGCCCAGCCCAGCCCAGACGCTAACTTCCAGCCCAAACCGGAACCAGACACAGTTGCACTTAAAGCATTTTCGTGCATTATTATTTATGCATATGCTTGTAATTGCAGTAGAAATACTTTCTGTGTGTGTGTGTGTGTGCCCAGACTCTAGCTAAATGCTTTTTTTCACATTTTTTTTTTCTCTTCTTTCTTTGCATTGCGGCTTTGCGTGCTGCCTTCTACAAATTTCAGCACATTTTCAATGCTGCATTTGTATAGGCTGTAAAAAAAAAAAAGAAAAAACAACAAAAAGGTTCTCTTAAGGCCAGACATAAGTCACTCAGACAGTCACGCAGACGGCCCAAGCTGCAGGGCAGACACTCAGAGACAATTAGACGCTAGCCAACAGAAGCTTTCTATCCCGCTCTATCACTCTTTCTATGTGTGTGTGTGTGTGTGCGTGGGCTTGAGCACTTGAAGTATAAGTTGGAAATAATTTTATTCTAAAAGTATGTGCAAAGAATTTTTAGTCGATAACTATAATTGTGGCTTAGTTAATATTCAATGAAGACAATCGAGAAATTAAAATGCTTGGAAATATTAAGAAAGAAATAAAAATTGTTCTAAATTTATAAATGGATTCAATAAATATTTCATGTTATTTATTTTTTTTCTCGTTTTCATTTAAAAATTTAATATATTTAAGAGGTAAGCCAAATTATTCGTAGAAAATTTTTAAATAATTTTTATTTCTCTGCGAATACGATTAGAAAAAGATAATAAACAAAAATTATATTTAAACAAATTAAATGTGGCATAATATTTTATTAAATTTTATTTATTATTTTTATTTTTATTTATTATTATTTATATTATTATTAAATATTATTTATTTATAATTGTTCTTTATCTCACGCTGTTTTAGAAAAAAAATAAAAAATAAAAATAAAAAAATAAAATCAATTTAGGAAAAAAAGTATAAAAATAAAATTAAATAAATTAAATATTTATTAAATTAAATTTTACTACCAAAAATTGTTGTCTAATCATATTAAAAATATTTTAATTCTTAATATTTAATAAATTAAATATTTTTACATATTTATGTGAACTTGAGCAATATGAATTATGGCTTAAAAAAAGCTTAAACAAAATCTTCACATTTCTCCTTTCGTCTGCATTAAATGCTAGAATTCAAAATTCATGCATATTATCATTTGAAGCACTTTAAAATCGACATTATTTTTAGCAGTGTAATAACTATCAGACAGTCCAACAAGTTTCAGCATACTTTTGCTATTTATGGCGCGCTTGGACTTGACTTTGGCATCCAGATCAGACGGAGTCCAATAACAACAAACTGTCTGTTCAGCTGACCGCAAGTTAACAAAGTTTTGCCATTTGGCTTCTCTGCATTTTGGCTTAAATTTTGTGCATTGGAATTTTTAACCCTCTCTATTTCTCATCCCATCTCCCTCTTCTGTGTATCTTTGGAAAGGCCATGACAATTTGCGGCTGCTTTGTGCGACAGCAGCGAAAAGCATAAGGCTTTAATTTGTGTGGCATCAAGACGAGTGGCCCAGACATTTGCTGTGCGCCAGGCAGCCAGCCAGCACATTCGTGTGGCATGCGGCATGCGGCATGCGGCTCACCCGCACCTGTCCTGTGCACTGGAGCGCACAAAAACAAGCTCAACAATTGCCTTATAAATGCCCTCAAACTTGGACTCAAACGGAATGAGTTTTTGGGCAGCAGTGGAAAAAACTTTGATTAATGTACGCTTAAAGAGCCGGCAAATACGTGAAAGCAGGCACAGCACAAGGAAAAACAAGGACACAACTTTTCATAACTTTAGCACACACACACACAGACACAGACACTGACAAAACAGGAGCAGGAGTAGAAGCAGGAGCAGGACAGGCAGACTGGCAGTAGACCGCGTGCAGCCGGCGGCTTCTTAGCCAAAGCGCAACAAAAACTTATGCAATCAAGGCAAAGGCGTACAGGAGGCGGCTACAACAGCATAAAACAGGGCCAGGACCAAGGCTGTTGGCACTGCAGCAGTTTCAAGGCGCCGCACAACAATGTCAGCGACGGGCAGCCGAAGGAATCACAGCGAAAAAGCGTTAAAAAATGAATTGTAAAACAAACAGCAAACAAACGAGCAACATTCGCTAAGGGCACGCCCACACACACACACACACACACACACACAGACACAGGCACAACATGCTGCTAGCAGGCAGCCACAAAGTAGCCAGCGACCCGCAGCGACCCGGGACCAGCAAACGAGGTCTGCTCCAGGCGCGCGATATCTGCAACGTCAAAGTCAGCAGACCGGTTCAAGCTCACCCGCAGCTACCATCTCTCTCTCCCCCTCTCTCTCCCCCTCTCTCTCACTCTATCTCATACTCCTGCTCAGCCTCAGCGGCATCCATAGCCACACGCCCGCGCCCGCGCTGGTTAATAGAAAATGTAATTCGATGCATTTAATGTTGGCAACGCCAAACGCTGCAGGTTGCCCTCGAGTCGCAGCCGAGGGTATGCGACGTGCCCGATACCCAGGTTCAGGTTCAGGTTGAGCTTCGCCTCCTGCTTTTTTATGAGTTTGCATTTGGCTGCTATTCATCCAGCACCATCGACGTCGTCGTCGTCGTCGTCGTCATCGTCGTTGACGTTGTTGTGTTTGAGTTGCTTACCTAATCCTTGCAAACAAGTTAAAAACGTTGTAAAACAAACAACAAACAAAACGAAATGAGTGGCAACTGACGCTGACGCCGATGCCGATGCCGACGCTGGCGTTGGCGTTGGCGTTGGCCTCGACTGTGGGGCTGCGCACGGCTGGCATGGCTCTCAGATGAGCTGCCCACCCAGCGCTAAGGGTAATCAGGAAATTAGGAGCGAGCAAAAAATGCTGCATACTTTTCGGGGACGAAAGCTTCAGCAAGGGCAGCAAAAAGAACTAGAGATGATTAGAGATGGGCTAAGTTGGAATATATATGTGAATATATTTTGGAGAGCTGTTATAGTATATAGTATAGTATGATCTTTGTATAACAGAGAGAGTATAACAGAGATATTATAACAGAGACACTTTTCAGAAAGAAGAGCTGGCACTCCTACGATGTTAGTTACTTGGAATATATAAGCCAAAATATATTGTAAATATACAATATATAGAAAATAAGAACTGAGTAGAGTATAAGAGAGAGAGAGAGTATAACATATATAGATTAACAGAGAGCATAACATAGCAGAGAGCATAACAGAGAGTAGTTTTTCAACGAAGCCGTTTACATAGAGGAAAATACATTAATATAAAATACCAGCTTACAAGAGATGAAATCTGGGATGAGTTTAGAATATTTTTGACTTATCAGCCATGTTTATTAATAATATATTTATTAATTATTAACCTACTGATACATTGACTAATTAAAATACTAGTTTTTACTACCCCTTTAGAAAAATTACCTTCAATTGCATAATTCATTTTCATAATTTTACAAAATTCAGTCATTGCATACATCTTCTTCTCAAAGCTCTACATATGGTAAGCAAACATTCTGCTTATATCCAACTATTCAAACTAAACATAGTGCTGTTCACACGCTCACATCTCTAATTTGGTTATTGGCTTTTTTTTTCTAGTCCGTTAAAAACAGTTTCGATGTTCCTGGTTGGAAATTGTCAGTCGTAAAGCCAGACGCATTGGGCAAATGGAAACGATTTTGACTGACATCGAGTGCCATGAGAAATACAAACAATCATCAGGCAGCCAGGCAGCCAGGCAGTCAGGCGGGCATGCACCACTCCTGCCCCGCCCCTCGGCTGCGCCCACCCTCATTTTGGTAACCTCAGCAACCTGCGCCGCGTGCCACAGCAATGACAAGCGGCGCGGCAGCGCTAATAGAAATTAAACGAAAGTGCTGCACGACTGATGGCTGCTGCTAGAGGAGTGGGCGGAGGAGGAGGCGAGTGTGTGGGCTGGCTGGAGTGAGTGTACCTGGGTGGTTGCCAGCCAACTGCAAATTCGAGCCACCCTGCAGCGAGCGTGTGAAGGTCGAGCTGGAACGAAGTGCAGCACCAGCAGCAGCAGCAGCAGGAGTGGGTGCAGGAGCAGCAGGAGTGGGCGCAGGAGCAGCGAAGGGCGCACATTTCGCTTTCATTTCGTTTGCTGGCTGTTTTTTCTTATTTCGGTACTATTTACATTTGCTTTTATTAATCATAAAAAATGCTGAAATAGTCGAAATTGGCGAACGGCGAACGGCGAACGGCAGGACGCGGCTTTGGCTCCTTTGGTTCCTTTGGCTGCTTGGTTATGCCGCACGGGAGCGTGCACGAAAGCGCAATTTGATTTTAATGGCGGCAAAATGTTGAATGTTCGTCGCACAGCTCAGCCAGCGAAACAGACAAACGGACAGACGGACAGAAACAGGCAGACAGACAGACAGACAGACAAACGAGCAGGACAATCAGACAGACTAGCAAAGCAAACACGCAGACAAACTGATTGTTGTTTCATTTCTCTTATTTTTTTTCGTTTAATACTCGTTCAGTTTGGATAAAGAGGTATATTGGGTTTTTGGCAGACCTCT